GCTAAGGTTTGAGCCTAATTTTCTCTTTATTCAAATTTTATTGTTTAAACAAAGGAAAACTTGATTGGGCCAAGAGTTCACATGGGTCACAACAACCCAAGACAATGGATATTTTTCAATCGGGTCGAACTTCAACTAATTTTATACCTCCATTTTCACACAAAATAATTTTTTTTTTAAGTTAAAATTATATATTATATAGACTAATGCTTTTCAATTAGTTTGTTAACGATAATTAATTATATCAATCATAACTCATTCGATTTCACCTACACATCTCTCTAATTTTAATGAATAAATGAATTGAGATGTTTTGTATTTCAAATCTAACGGAGACATTATTACAAAGATTCAAATAAATAATAATAATTCAACGCCTTGAGCCATTGTTCGAGTCCCATTTTAGAGAAAAATGTATTTTTGAATTTTTTTTTTTTTTATGTCTGATTAAAAAGTAAGGAAAATTTTCGATTTACGTGTAAAATTATTTTATTAGCAAGTGTATGGTTGAAAATGAATTTTGAGAAAATGAATTTATGAAAAAATGGGGCGAGTATTGAATTTACCCGTATATGTTTCTACGATACTTTAGTTAAAAAATAAAAAATAAATTCTCTGTTTTGGTAATTTAATTTAAAATTTTATAAGTCAACATATATATAAATGTTTATTTCTCTAATAGCGTGTAGAATGGTCCGAATCAATGAATAATGACAAATCGTCAACACTATATTATTTACCAACCAACATTGTGGACTTTTAATAAGCTACACCCCAAAACCCACTTCAATTTTTGGAAATTACTTGGAAACTTCCTCATAGAGAGAGAGAGAGAGAGAGAGAGAGAGAGAGAGAGAGAGAGAGAGAGAGAGAGAGAGATCTTATTAATTATTTAACATTATGTCAAATGATATTTTTAAATTTTATAATATTCAACATAAACCAATAAATGTATCCTCATCAATTGAGAATCGTTTGAGACTTAAGATTATTTTCTTATAAGATAAAATTATTAATATTTAACTTTATTTTAACTTGGTTATAGAGATGACAAGGGGACTGATTGATGCAGCTATTACCATTCACGTCTCATCCGAAATTTTCAAGAATGGAGGAGACGAAAGTAAAAAAAAAATTCTCTTTCACCAATCCATTTAACTAAATGTTTATACATTTTAAATATCATTTAAATTGGAAATAATATATATAAATATACGAAATTGATGTCTTAAAATGACACATTACAATAGTTGATGTAATCAATTTTGTAATTAATCATTATCTAGCCACAATCTGGCTCGATTCACTCCTCCAAAGGACTAACAGAGACTAACGTTCTTGAAGTGAGCTGGCTTGCGCTCGAGTCACCCCACAAGCGAGCGTGTTGACTCGTGTGATGAGTGAGGCAGAGCTCAATGATAGACAAGTTGAACAACTGTGCTCAACCCATTTAGCACTCCTAACATTACCGAGATAGACGGAGCCCACACAAAACCTATGGAAAAGCCTTTAATTTTAATATTTTCTCACTTCCCACTCTTGACTCTTCCCCCACCCCACCCCACCCCACCCCTTCCCCTACGAAGCCACGGCCGCCATTGAAGCGGTTGAAGAGTTGACCACCCTAATATACAGTGATCCAAAAACTGTCAAATTACAATCAAGAAATGAAAAGATTATATATATGGAATGGAACCAAACAATTCTTTCCTTGGCTTTGAGTAAACTCCAACCCTTCTTCTTCTTCTTCTTCTTCTCTTCTTATTCTTTCATAAAAATTACTCATTCATGGAAAGACTAAACCAGTACAACAATTTTGTCTTACCTTTCTCTCTTATAATCTTCCTTGGCCTTGTCTCCTTTTCTTCATGCCTTGCTGCTGAATTCAACAAATCAAAGGTAATTTCTGAATCAGTTTTTATGTGCACTGCTTCCCAATTTACACAAACTAAGTCTGATTAATTCATTTTTTGTTTAGAAAAAGGATCTGAGGTTTGATGACAAGCTTTGCTATTTGCCCGGAAGCCCGGCTTTCGGATTCGGAATAGCCGCTTTAATGTGCCTTTTCACCGGTCAGATCATCGGAAACTTGTTCGTCTGTTCAAAGTTAAGTGCGAGAGATCATAGGAGTGGTTGTGATGATAAATTAAAAAGGCCTGCAATTGCTACCATTTTCTTGGTTTTTTCATGGTAAGTAAATTTTAATTTCCATTACATGACAATCAAACATACCGTATCTTTTGGCCGTGCTAAAGATGAAAAAGGTTTATTTCTCTATCCAAAACCTACTTTTTTTCCCACTCCACTCACTCAATTTTTGTTACTTATTTTTTCTCAAACTAAGTCCATTTTCGGTGTCAATTTTTAATACTTGTTTTTCTTAAACTTATTTTCAATTACATATTTTTACGGGTCCCACATCATCTATCAACTTTTCAACCATATATTTCATCAATTTTAATCAAAACCTATTAAAAATCTTAATTTTAACCAATCCAAATAGGGGTTAGTTTTCAATCACAAAATCTCTCAACAAAAGAAATTTCTACGTGGGAATCTTAATATTTTCCTAATTTTTAATAATAAATTTCTTTTTTAATATCACTTTTTATAAAATACATTTCTAAAAAATCTGCGTCAAACAAGTTATATATTCAGTCGGGTTTTGTCTAATTGGATATATCAAACCCTGATTAGTGTAACGAGTAATGCTATTTAGCTCCATTGATATTAAAACATCAGTCTGATGACACTAATGTTACATTAAATAATACGTATAATTAAATTAATCACTCAATTTTACCTTTCATTGAACTTATTACTTAACACTATCTAAACTGGAGTAGCACCACCGATGCTACATAGTATTATTCTTAGTGTAACTATGACGCATCGACCAATGTTTTCTATCTTCCTATTTCCCAGTAGCTTAATGGGGCAGAGTGGACTCCACTTTTAGTCACTTATTCTAGTAGAATTTATTTTTGTGCCAAATTCCTAGGTTGAAGAACCTTCTAACATGGACAGCTGGAATTACTGCAATTTCTTTGTCGGATCTGGATATACAATGTTTTAATAATTAACATTAAATTATGTAACAGGATCAGCTTTGGAGTTTGTGCTATTCTACTAAGTGCAGCCACCAGCATGAGCCGAAGTCAGTCCTTTGGGGAAGGATGGTTAGATGGCGAGTGCTACATAGTCAAATCTGGAGTCTATATTGGCTCGGGTATACTGGCTGTGCTCACTCTTGGTTTAACCCTAGGTTCGGACATTGCAACGATAAGGCAAAAGCGAGTAGAAGAAGACATGAAAGTGCACGCACAAATCAAATGAGTTAAAACTCGTGCATCAAATGGACGTAGTCGTAAATGCGCAAACGTGTCGATAAAGTTGTACGTGTCGATAAAGTTGTACGTGTCTTATTCAAGTACATGATAGAAAAACGAGAAACATATTCATAAGATTTTAATAAATGATTTTGGGATTTTAGAGAAAAAATGGACTGTGACTTCTGATGTCGGACAACTCAACATGCTTTGAAATATTTGTTTTGCTTATACGTTCTTCCCCGGTTGAAATACCTAATGATGTGTTTGATAGGAGATATTTTTCATGGACCATTTTCCATCTTTTGGCATGTTTGATGGTACAAATTTTCCCTAAAAAACTTTTTCCACAATTCTCTCACACGTGTGCTAATTCCATGATTTGGTGGAATTGGTTTTCCCATCTTTTTGGTGGGAAAATGAATTTCATATTGCTGTTTTTATTTTTATTTTTTTGCAATGGAAACAAATTTCATAATTAATTGTAAAAAAAATTCACTTTAATTAACAATTTCCATGTAAAACAAAGCCAAATGAATATTAAATTTTGATTGAAAAAATTTCGTGTTTTTTTTTTTTTATTTTTTGGCGATGGAAACAAATTTTATAACCAATTGTGGAAAAAATTATCACCTTCATGGACAATTTTCATGTAAAAGAGAGTCAAACAAACACAAAATTTAAAAATTTTTCGGTGGAAAATTATATCAATCAAACACACTTAATTTTCAATTCCCTGAAAAACAATTTTTAGGCAATTACTTTTCTTGGGATTCATTTTCTTTCCACCCATTTTCCACCCTTACAATCAAATGAACCCTAAGATTCGTTTTCTATTCACGTCAAAATATTTGCTCCGTTTTTGTTTAATTTATTATCATGTTTGCTAAAATATCTAAAATAACTTGCCTATTGTTTGATTTAGTCAAAAAAAAAAAAAAAATTAAAAATAATAAAAAAAAAAAAGGTTAATAAAAATCTAAGTAAAGTCAACGGTTAATTTTAACAACTCGTGAAATTCACAATTTTTATCAACTTTTCAATTACATATTTCATAATTTCATGAACTTTTATCAAAACTTAGCCCTTGTTTGATCCCTATTATTTTCAAAATACATTATCATCTATCTTTTTTTTCAATCACATATTTTTCAATAAATTAATATTACGCGCAAATAAAAAACTTTTTCTTAGTTTTTAACCATACGTTCTTTATCAATCTATTATTCCAACAGACATTCTGCACCAAATGAGCTCAAACAAGCCCTTATTAAAAATTGATTTTTAGAAAAATCGAGCAAGACTAAGGACTCTTTTGACATGATTTTTAAAAATATTGCTTTTGAATATATTTAATTAATTTTATAAAAAAAAAATATTTCTTCTAGCAAGAAGAGCTTTTAAAACTCGTTTAATATGATTTTTGAAAAACCAAAAAATTAAAAAAAAAAATTAAAGGCTCAAAAGCTATTTTTAGACCGGTTTGCTAATTTCATAAAACGCTTCTTTCAGTTAGAAGAGTTTTTGAAAAAGTAGATCAAATATGACTTCCTCTAAAAGCACTTCCAAAATAGAAAAACATTTTAAAATTTAGTTTTAAACAAAAAAATTTAAATCAACTTCCTCCAATAACTAGACAAGAAGCAAAAGCTATTTCAAACCAAATCTCTTCCAGAAGAAAAAGCTCTTTCAGAAATTAATTTTCAAGCACGGGAAACAGAATCAAAAGCAAAAACCTTGCCAAATGTGCAATAATATATATCCTTTTGATGAAACACGTCGTTTCAATGAGGATACTTTCTTGAAAGCTACATAGAGGAGACAAAGTGACACGAACCTAATACTTGCAACAATGACATACTACCATCCAAACAAATTAAACAACTCAAAGTCTCAGCGTCTAATGATGGTACACAATGACAAAGGTTTAGTAGAGAGTAGTAAGTAGAACCTCCCATGAAGGTAAAAAACGAGTGCGACTCTTTGTCCCTGGCGTAAAACATGGAATATAGTGGTTAAAAACTAGTATCTTGATATACAGGTTCATGGGCTAAAAAATATTATAAACGCCATAACTTCGCTATCTCGCAAGCTCATTCTTGAGAAGATCGGATAATAAGATTTCAAACTAAGAAGTTAATAATGCAGCCGATGTACATCTGAATCGTGAATATCCAATGTCATCTCCTCGTGTAACCACCTCGGCCTTGTCCACTGTGGTTATACCCCCTACCCCAGTTATATGAACCATGATAGTCACCGCGTCGACCAGCATAGCCGCCACTATAACCTGAATGAGATCTCTGTTGAAAATTGCTAAAGGTCTGCGTAGACCCCCAAAGAAGAGAAAATGGTAAGAATATGCAGGACCGGCATTATACTCATCTTTTATATGAAAAACTAGAGTAAAACAATACTGACGCACCTCATTGTCCTGTTTCGTTCGCTCGGAAAATTGGTTATATCTGTTCCTAGCTCCGTGATTAATACGGTTACAAGATATTGTATCGAAGAAATCATCTTTGTTATATGCAGGCTGCATACACAGGCATCTAATGATTACACTCAATGTTGAAGTAAAGTCGGAGATCTAATGAATGCA